AAAGTTATTTAAAAAACAACAACAAAAAGTGAAGGTCACATTAGATAATAAACCACATAAGACTTTGTTAGGTTTCGTTAGATAGACGGTTTTACATGAATTGTGAAAAGTTATTTAAAAAACAACAACAAAAAGTGAAGGTCACATTAGATAATAAACCACATAAGACTTTGTTAGGTTTCGTTAGATAGACGGTTTTACATGAATTGTGTAAAGTAATTTCGAATAATGTTTGAGCGAGTGCAAAATTAGGCTTAACTACTCCAACCCCATAGGCACGCTTTTGTTTCTGGCGCAGGAAGACTGGGTCCATTGGAATTTTAAAGTTACAATTTTGTAAAATATATTTTTGCGAATAGTTACCGGCGTTTTACAAGTTTCGTGTCGAAATGTTCTGAAAATTATTATGTTTTTAATAAACTTGTTAAGCTATACTAAATCAGATACTGTTTAATGTCTCTTGCACTGTTTGATACACAGCATCATATTTGTCCGTAACTTCTGAATATTTGGCTTTTAATTAGCGTCCACTATTTTAACAAACTACTACTTACCAAGAAATAGGCCTAAAATAATATTCAAAGTGGTTGTCACCACGAGGGGTTCCAACCCTAAACACCTGCTGGGGACAGTTTTGCCCCTGGATTCTCTTAACGACCATATCTACATTGGCTAAATTTCAAGAAAAAGTCACTACAGTACAGGTTCTTCGATAATGATAATGATAGTTAGATAAAAATATTACTTACTTGCTTCCATTAAACTGAATCGGTGCGTAGGTCCCGTCAGGATCACATCTGGGAAGATCCAGCCCGACTACTGTAAAGCCCTTGCTTTCGCGAATCTTTATCTTATTAATGAGAGTTTTGCGCTCCTCATAACAAGGTGGTGGGGTTTTGTAGTTTTTGTGTATTTTATCGTCATCTGTAAACGTTATAGAATACACACTTATGTACGATATTGGGTTTCATTATTTCCGAGTAACAACAAAAGCTGAAGTTATAAAAAATAAATCACGGCTTACAAAAACATTAATAAGACCGCGATGCTTTCAGTGTATACTTACACTGATGAAGCTTCAAGATTAACGATAATTATAATTTCTATTAGTTGAGTGTTTAAAGTTCTTTGGATTGTCAGACAATAACAAATGAAACAAATACTGCAACTGAGAATACTTTTTTTTCACGTTTTAATACCTTTTGTTTTATAAAGTTCTCAGTTCCAGTACAGAACACTAGGAGTGTGAAATGTACCATTTTGAGTACCATATTTAACTAAACAATTTTAAAAGCTAGTTTTGACGTCATCTGGGAAACATTTTAAATGGCGTCTTTCGGGAGCACGGTAATGGTTTTACCGACAAGTGCGCCCCTCAGTGGCTCAGGGGTAAATCTTCGGACTTATGGTGCTAAGAACCGGGTTTCGATATCCGTGGTGGGCACAGCACAAATAGCTGATTGTGTAATTCTGTGCTTAATAAAACATACAGTCACTGACAACTGAGAAAAAAACAACAACATGAAACTAAAATCAAACTAATAATAAAATAAAATGAAAGTACACAATTTAAGAACCATTCACTGTTAAAAGGCGTTAGAGAATAATAAAAAAGTAATATACTAACGTTACAGTATAGTGTGTCCATTTATATTAAACCATGTCAATCTAAGGATAAAAAAAACAACACTGTCGGAACCGTTAAATTCCCGCCTATTCACTAAAATTGTAGAATATTCTCAAGTGTAAGAATCAACAATATATGTTTGCAACTAAACACTGGTGTATCGTCTATGCCCCCCAGTGGCACAGCGGCATGTCTGCGGACCTACAACGCTAGAAAACAGGTTTCGATACCTGTGGTGGGCAGAGCACAGATAGATCATTATGTAGCTTTGTGCTTGAATTCAAACAAAGGAAAGCAAAGGTATCGTATATAATGTTGTGCAAGTTGAAGTTTCCAGAAACTCTCCTCACGCCTATAAATATAACTAACGCGCCGCGCCAAAAGACAGCATATATTATTGGTTTGCTGTAGTTGGGGTGCTATAAACCTCGGAGGCTACAACTGTAAGTGATATAGCTCGTATTAATTGGAAACTTCAGATATTTGACTAGGATCGTGAACCCTCGATAAGGTTTGGTTTGTTTAAAGTTAAGCACAAAGCTACTCAATGGGCTATCTGTGCTCTGCCCACCATGGGTATCGAAACCTGGTTTCTAGCGTTGTAAGTCCACAGACATACCGCTGTACCACTGGGGGATCCCTCGATAAGATATCCAGGAAGTTCCAGACCAGATAGAGAACTAAATATTGTTTGTAAGTTTGTAAAACGTTTGTACATAGATCAATATTTGTGATAACCAGTATTGTAAATTGTGTTACAGTTTATATATTAAAATACATTTGTATTAATAAAAAAATTGTGTGCATCAATCTTGTTGGCAACTATCATAAATTGGATACATATCGGCATTTATTTAACTTATAAATTTAAATTATCATTTACTTCAGTTTTAGGCCATTCAAAATTATTACGTTACGTAATGCTACAAATTAGATACAAAACATACCTACACATAATCATTTTACATTTGGTGTGAAATTTTCAACTAACTACCTCTTAATTATTATCTTTTTTTGTGTGTGTGTGTGTCACTAAAATCTCCTGGAAAT